CAGGAGAGGCAGCGTGAAAAACACACCAGGCACAAATGCATGTGTGCACAAAATTCTGAAAGGAGGGAGAAACAGAGGAGACGGGATTGCAGCATGACCATGCCCCACTGGGGTTGCTTCTCTGTCTCTTTCCTTCTCTCTCTCGCTCTGGCGAGTGCATGCACACTGGCAAAATGAAAAATGAAAATGTTCATGTCAGGACATAGTAAAATTCATTATTACTTGAGGACGAGGCAGAGAACGTGAAGGCTATTCTCATTTTTTTAGTTGTATTAAAACTTCCCCTATTTGTTCTTTACACATAATCAACCAATTTCTCCCTTTGGTTACTGAATACTATCTACAAAATGAAACCAATACACAGAAATTGTCAGGAATGAGATGTTAAGATCTCCTAGAGTTGGCTCTCCTGACATTTTAACAAAAAGAATGCATTTTTCAATTGAAGATAAGACAGACATGTCAGATAAAAAGTATAAAAACTAAGGAAAGAATATGCAGTGAGATAGAATGAAATGAAATTGAAAGCAAGAGCTCAGCAGATGGCATAGTGTTTACATCTCTGGACTCCCACATGGCCGACAGCGGTTCGAGTCTCAGACCTGGTGGCTTGAAAATCACACCAGATACATGTGTGTGCAACCCCAAGATCCCAGGAAATGAATGGAGGAGAAGGGATTGCAGCATGGCCATCCCCCCTCAGGAAGTGATGTCTCACTTTCCCTCTCTCTCTTTTCTCTCTGTCTCTCTCTCACTGGCAAGCACACATTCCCTATGGCAAAACTCTTTCCAAAACAAACAAACAACAACAACAACAACAACAAAAAAAACTGGAAGCAAAATTAAAAGCAAATAAGGCTTTTCTAGTTCTGAGGTATTTCGATGACTAAGACTAAAACTCACCTCTTTCTCACTCTTTTGAAGTGACTGACTATATTACTGAAAAGAAAAAGAAAAAAAAAAAAAAAAGCAGCAGCTAACGTAACTGAAGTAAAGGGCTTGGAGCTTGGTGTTTCTTTTCATCCTAGAAGGTCCTGTCTGAAAACGCAATGAATAAGAATTCTATTATCATTATTAATTCTGTAATCAGTGTCAACCCTTTTTGTGTTTGGATTCTAGCACATGTAGCAGTACCTATCAGTAAGTTTCTTTTCTTTTCATAAATCTGATACAAATTGGGATCCCAAAATGAGGAGAAAATTTTTCCTAACTGATCCACATTGCACTTAATGCTTCTATTTCTTATTTAGCAATCTTTTGGGTTATTAATCACTCAATTTGTTTGAAAGTCTGGGTTAAAAAAAAAAAACATTTTGTTTTCTTAAAAAAGAATTTCAAATAGTTTTTAGTAACAAAACTTCCCATGCTGCAAAAAATAATAATCATAAATAAATAAATAAGATATCCAGGGTTCCAGCCTATGGCATAGAGGTTTGGATCCCATGTGGCCAACAGCATGGTTGGAGTCCCAGACCCGGCAGCTTGAGAAACATGCTGGGTGTGTGCTTGCGTACCCAGAGTCCCGCAAAGACAATGGAGGAAAGGGGGTTGCAGTGTGGCCATCCCCACTGGGGGTAATTTCTCACTTTCCCTCTCTCTCTCTGTCTCTCATTCTCTCTCCAGTGAGTTCATATGCCCTAGAAAATCTAAAAAAAAGATGTCTAGGGTGAGATATAACAAATATGGAGAAATAGAAGGAAGGAAATATGTTTAAAGTAGTCACAGGAGAATACTTGCAATTAACATTCAAATTTGTGATTATTTAAGTTATCTTCAGTATTTACACCTTCCTACTCGTTGAGAAAGAAAAAGAATGACCTGAGCATACAGGGTTAGCCCTTCCACCTTTCTGTCAAGTTGAAATACAGTAACGCCAGGCCGGTCGCAATAGACAGGAATATTCCTTCACCACACAAGAAATGTTCGTCCTTATTCCATTATGGATATCCTTCTGGGGGAGGTTTGGTGTCTTCCAAAGAGCTCTCTGTTTATCCTTTGGAAAGAGCAAGGAAGAGACTATATTCTTGATCCAAAACCTCTGCTAATCCAATTTTGTTTCATGTTGTTCTGCCAGTCACTTCAATACCCATTGGTAAGTTATTATTCATTTATTTCTTGATTCCAGTGCCCTTTAGAAAATTCCCCCTCAACTAAAAGATTTTTTATGCACATCTCCCAACCTCTTCTGCCTTTCTATTGTCTACTGTCCCCTTAAGTTATTGAAGAGTTTAAAATCTACTATATGTCAGATGAGTGGCAAAAAAAAGAAAAAAAAAGAAAAAAAGAAAGTCAAGACCCTAAAGTAGTATTTTTCACTTAATGAAAAGGAATAATTAAATATAATTGATGCTGGCAACATTATACGTTAATGTTCCCATTAAAATTATTTTTAGTCATTTAATAAATTCTCTCTTCTTTTGCCTAAAATGTTTATCCCATTTAGATTAATTTAACCCTTTTAGAAATTGAATTTGCAGTGTGTTACTAGATCTATAAAAACATGATATCCCTTAAACTTATAATTCCACTTCTATAGATATGCGCTAATACAGAGCACATCTGTAGAATAATTTAGATATAGAATTATTTAGAATAATTGTATATCTGTATTTAGAATAATTCTAAATACAGAATAAAACTATTTGCATGATGTTAATTGGTATAAAGATGAAAGGGTAATATATTATGTAGTTAAAAAATAAACAGGATTGACCTAGGTTCAAGTTCCAGCTAAAACACCAGACATGTGGCTGTGGATAAATTCATTTAATCCCTATTAAAACTTAATTTGCATTATCTCTATTTGCTGTTCTTTCTTTCTTTTTTTGTTGTTGTTGTTTGTTTTAAGTTTTTGCTATAGGGCACATGTGCTCATCAAGGAGAGAAGGAAGGGGAGAGTAACAGAGAAAGTGAGAAATTACACCCGAGGGGAGACAGCCACACTGCATTCCCTTCTCCTCTAGTCTCTTGGGACTTTGAATACACATGCATGCCTGTACACCTGGTGTGTTAATCAAACCACCTAGTCAGAGACTCAATCACACAGTCAGTTACGTGGAATCCAGCCACCTACACCACCACACCACCTGGCTGGCCCTGCTATTATTTCTTATCATTTCCTTGCACCTCTGATGTTCTCATTCTCCTTCCTCCACATTACTAGAACTGATTGATTTATTCATAAATTGATGTAAGGCAATCCCAACTGGTAGAAGAAATAGAGGGGTGAAACAAGTGCTGGTGACAGTTCAAACATTTTTGTCTACAAAAAATCAAGCCATGAGGGAAATCTGAAGATGAGAAAGAAAAAGAGAAAGAGAGAAGAAATAATTTCTCTCAGTCAAAAGAAAGAAGACAAGGAAATTATGAATATCTAAGCTTGAATGTGGCAACACCTAATTCCTTTTTCTTATTATGGAGAATTTTCAAAAGGAACTTTTTCAAAAATTACCAGTGAAGAGACCAACAGATGGCGTATTGGTTATGTTGCTGGACTCCCACCTGGCCGACTGCAGTTCAAGTCCCAGACCTGGGAGTTTAAAACTCACACTGGATGGGTGTGCATGCATGCTCAGGATCCTGGGAGGATAATGTATTGCAGTGTGGCCATCCTCCCTGTGGGGTGATTTCTCACTTTCCCTCTCACTGCCTCTGTCTCTCTCTGTCACGTACATGAACTCTAAGGCAAAAACCTCTCAAAAAAGAAAAAATCATCAATGAATATAGATTTATGCTTTTTCCCCATTTCCTAAGAAACACATGTGCATGTCCTTTCCCCTTTGTCACCTATTGCTCAAGAATAGACTTAAGTTTTCATGTTAGAGGACTGCAGATGATGTAATGGTTACATCACTAGACTCCCTTCTAGTCAACCAAGGTTCTAGCCTCGGAGCCAGTGGCTTAAAACTCATGCCAGGCACGTGTGCGCGAGTGCCCAAAATCCCAAGAGAATGGAGGAGAAGGGACCACATGGTGGCCATCTCCCACCCCACAGGGGGTGATTTCTTACTTTCTGTCTCTCTGTCTCTATCTCTTTGGTGAGCACACACACCCTGTTGCAAAAATCTCTCAAAAGCAAACGTTACAATTACTGTAGGATGACGATACCAACTCCATTAGCAACAGGAACCATTATAGTTACTCTTTCAAAGTAAAACCCCGACAAAGGATCAATTCCTATATGATTAGACGTGAGATTCTGAAGCATCTCTTTTAGTCCTTCACTTGGTAATCATAAAGAGTGTGTGCTAAATTGACACTGCTAATGAAGCACTTTAAGGGTTTTGAGAAAGCTGGATTTCTTTATCAAATGATAAAACCAGGCCAGCTGGTGCCATGGTGATTAAGGGAGCTAAATCTCACATGGCCAACCGAGCTGTTCAAATCCCAGACCCAGTGTCTTAAAAAATAATGTCATGTATATGTGGATGGGAGTCCACAATTTTTTTTTTGAGAAGTTTTTGCTATAGGACGCGTGTGCTCGCCAGACAGACAGAGACAGACAGAAAGCGAGAAATCACCCTCCAGAAGGGATGTCCACACTGCAGTCCCTTCTCCTCCATTCTCCTCTTGGGATCTTGGGCATGCATACACACACGACCAGCATGAGTTTTAAGTCACCGGGTCCGGGACAGGAACCGCAGTTGACTACATGGGAGTCCAGCAACATAGCCTTTACACTAACTGCTGGTCCCATTTTTTTTTTTTTTGAAGAGATTTTTTGCTATATGGCGCTTGTGCTTGCCAGACAGATAGAGACAGAGAGAGAGAAAGAGAGAAATCACCCCCCAGGGGGGATGGCCATGCCGCAATCCCTTCTCTTCCATTCTCCTCTCGGGACCTTGGACACCCACGCACACGCGCCCGGCGTGAGTTTTAAGCCACCGGGTCCGGGACTCGAACTGCGTTCGACTACGTGGGAGTCCAGCGACATAGCCATTATGCTAACTGCTGGTCCCAGGAGTCCAGACTTTTGAGAAGAGAATGGAGGAGAAGGGATTAGAGCATGGCCATCACCCCATGGGGAGTGATATCTCTCTCTCCCTCTCTCTCTTGTGAGTACACGTGCCCCATAGCAATTTCTTGTTTAAATGCTAAGACCTTTGTCCTACTATTAATCAATAGTAATAATTTCTAATATTGCATTCTATCTCCTATCACTCCAGTTACTGTGATATTGTGGTATACTGATGTCTCCAGCTTTGTCCACTAGCCTTAGTAACTGGACAAAAACAACAGAGGGGTTTGGCCTATTGTATTTCATTGCTGCTTCCTTCTTAGTAAAGAAAGTGGTTTAGTTATCTCAGAAATTCTTTCTTCTACCACTATAAAGAATTTAATTGGTGGACCAGCAGATGGCATAACAGTTATGTTGCTGGACTCTCATGTAGATGACCACAGTTAGAGACCTGGATCCAGTGGCTTAAAACTCACGACAGGCATGTGTGTGTACACGCCCAACATCCTTAGAGGAGAATGGAAGAGAGGGGCTTGCAACATTGCCATTCCTCTTAGGAGGGGATTTCTTGCTTTTCGTCTCTCTGTCTCCCTCTGTGTCTCCAGCAAGTACACATGTCCTATATAGCAAAAATATCTCTTAAAAAAAAAAAGGCAATATAATCAGTAACCAAATTTTGGAAACTTGAGCTTTGTATTGAATTTACTAATAGTTCTTTTCAAAACTAACCAGAATGCTTCTTCATTAGCAATTCTGGTGTCCTCTAGCCTTCCACAAGGTCTGGTTCCACGCCGTCAGTGATTGCTATCACTCAATGTTAAGGCAGAACCTAAGTGACATCTCTTTTACATTAAGATATTGCTGAATTTTCTAAAATTACTGATTTTAAGTGAAAAATCTATTGGTGCAAAGGATAGAAAGGACAGAGAAGCAATGACAAGAGCTAACAACTTTTGTAAAACTCTAAGAGCAAACATAGTAAGGATTATACCTTTTTTAAATAATTATTTTATATTAACTTTATTTACTTATTTATTTTTAATTTGGTCAGAGAGGGACAGAGTAAGAGAGGTAAAGAGAGGGAGGGAAAGTGAGAAAGCAAGGCGCCAGGTCTGGGACTTGAACCGTGGTTGGCCATGTGGGAGTCCAGTGCCCTTAACCACTGTGCCACCTGCCGGCCCCAGAGACCATTATACTTTTAACCACCATTTGTCTTAAAGACAAAGTAACATAGCAAAAAGCCAAAACTTTATTAGCTAAAACCCTGACACAAGGCCAGATTACTTAAGGTTGTGGTGAAAAAAGAGAACTACTGGGCCAGCAGGTGACATGGAGGCTAAGGCAGCCGGATCCCACACAGCTGACTCTGTAGTTCCAAGTCCCACCCCTGGTGGCTTTAAAAGCACACCAAGCACATTTGCGTATGACCAAAATCCTAAGAGGAGAATGGAGAAAAATAAATTGCAGCGTGGCTGTCTTCCTTGGGGAGGTGCTTTGGGGAGGTACTTTCTGACTTTCTCTCTCTCTCTCTGTCTGGTGAGTACACATGCCACATAGCCAAAAAAATTAAAGATAAAAAAAAAATCACTTAATAAGGTATACCATATTCTTATGGGATTTGTTTCCCCAAAGTCTCTTAGTCCCTTTTCTGGTGTCAAAAGTGGATTTTCAATGAGAATTCAATACATTAAACTTTTAAAAAAATGAATTAGTTTCTGTTTCTTTTTAATAATTGGTCCTGCATCAGCGAGTAAATTCCTGACATCATTCTCAATTTCAGTTGGTCTCCTGTACTATCTGGGTTTCTTCACTTGCACTGACACTTTTGACATCTGATCAGTCTGCACCCTGAGAATCAAATTGTTGTCCATCTCTCTTCTCCCACATTTTCTAGTATTCTTTTAAGCTACAAATAGTTTTTATGGTTTTATTATTATTATTATTACTATGCTTCTTGTTTTTAGTTTTGGTTGGATTTGGTTTGAGTTTTTTTGTAAAACAAATGCCCCTAGAAACAGAAAATTGCACAGAAAGGACAAAGGGATGGAGGGAAGTGGTTTCTCTGGTTAGAGAATTAAATTTCAAAAGAGAAACAAAGGGAGACAATGCTGGCAAAAGATGCTGGGGGTCAGAACGCAGGGAAATTTTGTTTTGCGACCCTACCTTCAGACTGAAATATAAGCAGTAGGAAGTTTAGACTTCAATCTGAAGCAGAAGTCACAAAACAAAATTCCAAAACATAAAAAATAAAATGAGAAGATACAGCAAGTGACAATATAAGGAGGGCCAGACTATAAAATGCAAAGAAACCTTTAACTAAAATAGAATTAAAGGCAAAAGAGAAAGGATGATCTTTGTCTTAAAGTTTATCCTATCTAAACTTGGGCCACTACCACGATTGATGGAAGAGAGTAAGTCTTTTCTGACTTTGCCTCCTTGAAATAAATGAATTGAGTCTTGTCTTTCATAATAGTAAGGAAAATTACACAAACTGTGTTTCCATTTAAGAAAAAACTATAGGTCCAAATAAATATGCCATTTAAAAAGTAAAGATTAGCAGAGTACATAAAAAAATATGATCTATAAGAAACTCACTTCAAATTTACCAAAAATAGAAAGGAATGAAAAATATATCTCATGCAACTATTATTTTTTAAAAAAAAAAGCAGAATTGGTTATATTTATATCACATAAAGTAGACCTCAGTACAAAGAAAATTACCAAGGACAAAGAGGAGCATCACAGCATAATAAAAAAGACTAACATATCATGAAGACATAGAATTACTGGGTATGTGTATACCAACACTGCTTCAAAATAATACAGGAAGAAATGTGATAGAAGTGTAAAAAGAAATAGAAAACCCACAAAATATAGTTGAGACATTCAGCACCCCATTCTGAACAACTGATAGAATTACTAAATGGAACATGTACGTGGTGAGAGAATTAGCTATGACAGATATCTGAGAGGGGGATATTTTAATCAGCAAAGACTATAAACCATCCTGGGGTAGGAATATTTCCAGACTATTTAAAGAAAAGCAAGAAAGCAAGTATAGCTGAATGGAAGCAGAATGAAGGAAGGAAGGAAGGAAGGAAGGAAGGAAGGAAGGAATGTCCAAAGAGAAGCTATCGGAGGGAGAGCTAAGCAGCGACAGATCTAGGGCCTCCCTTGGAAGCTACTATAACAACGTCAATTTTGATTCAAACAATATGGTAGCAACTGGCAGATCATGAGCAGAGTCTGAAACTTTCAGACTTCCTTTCAGGACTTCCCTTTCTGCTATACTGGAAACTGGCAGAGTCAAGGGTAAAAGCAGTACTTGGACCACAATGAGTTATAAAGGTGATGAAAACTACCAGGTTCTTCTAACACATTAGAGGCTCTGCTGCCCTACCATATTGCCTTGTATACTGCTACTGGTCTTCACGGTCCCCTAGAAGGAAGCACTAGATGGGAGGTGAAGAACTGTGTTTCTGATCCAAAACTGCTTCTGTTAACCTATCCTCTTGCTTTGATTTTCAGGAATACCTCAAATGCCCATTAGTAAGTTTCTCATCGATTTCTAGTACTTTAGTTTCCTCTAGGGTTGGGGTGGGAAAATTTTGAAAAGATCAGAAAATACGTATTTCGGAGTTAGCACATAGCATGGAGATTAAGGCACTGGATCCCACATAGCCGATTTCATGGTTTGAGTCCTAGACCGGGCAGCTTGAAAATCATGCTAGGTGTGTGCACGTACATGCCCATGAGGAAACAGAAAAGGGATTGTCACATGACCATACTCCCTGGGAGGTGATTTCCTATTTGCCTTCTTTCTCTGTCTGTTTGTCTCTGTGAGTACATGTGCTCAAGAACAAATGAATAAATAAATAAGATTTCATAAGCTGTAAAATCTGTCACAACTACAAAACTCTGCTGTTATAGGACAAAAGCAGTCATAGACAATATATTAAAGACTGATCATAGATACGTCCCAACAAAATACTATTTGTTGAGGGTTGACTCCATAACACAATGCTTAAGCACTATGGTGCTGGAGCCAGATCCCACATGGCTGACTATGGTTCAAATCCCTGTACTGGTGGCAACACGCCAGGCACACATGTCCAGGGTCTTGACAGGATAGAGAAATGGAGGGGAAAGGGCTGTGGCATGAACAGGCCCCAGCGGGGGTGCTCCCTCTCTTTATCAGTCTCTCGAAAAATTTATTTAGTTAGTTAGTTACTATTTGTAGACATTGACCTCTGAATTTCATATAATTTGCATATGTCACAAAATATCATCATTTAACAATTTGAAATGTAAAATCATTCTTACCTCAAAGGAAGGAAAGTAGGAAGCTGAATTATTCCTAGAACTGTACTTTGCCAACTCCTGCTCTATGTTTTAGATACCCTAACTCCACATTTTCACTCCCAGTAAACAATCCTGGTTGGTATTATGTTTCCCATGCTTTTTTTTATTTTGCACTTTTTAGTACTTCAATACCTGGCAACAATTACAGCTTAAATATCTCATTTCAAACGTCAGTGTAGAGTGTTGGTGCACATCTTTTAAGCAAGACCATTACACATCCCGTATTTTATAAATTGTAAAATGCTAGACATAATTGCTAACTAATAATAAAAAAGGGACTATGATTTAAAGTAGCGTATCTCAAGGTCTCTCTAAATTACAAGCCAACAGGCCAAGAGAAGGGGAGGGAAATGAAAGTTCCTGCAGTTAAATGGGTGAAACTTAGTTCTTAGTGACACAGTTTCCAGCCAGTGTAGAGGCCTGAGGATTAGACAGAAGGGCAATGCAATACCTACTGATGTGTTTGCCTTTGTCTCTTTCAGTGGACAGTTCTGGAAAAATCAGTAAGTTCGGATCATTTTTGTACCTCACCTATTTCTGTGTCTGGGACCTTTCAGTTATTGTTCCCAAATTTTCTTGTGTCAACCAAAGTCGATATTTCTTAAATAAAGGGTTTCCTCATATTTCACTTTTGAGATTTCCTCATATTTCACTTTAGATTCTCTATTATTCTTTTGTAACAAAATATAATGACCTTGTATTTATAACCAAATATCGCTAATATATATTCCCAGCTATCATAACACAGGCTGTTTTCTCTCTGTTACAACCTGACAACTGATAATTCTTATTTAGAAAGAAAATCCCCTATGGATGACATAAAGAATAGGTGTAGGAACAATATGGCGATTTTAATAACTCACCAACAATACACATTATTCAAACTGATCAGAAGGAGAGTGGGCAAAAAATTGACGTTAGAAGAACAAAGAAAGGTAGGAAATGCAATAATTTTAATTCCATTAGAATTGATATTACTCATCTAAGAATTTAAATCCTTTCCTTAACTAAATGGCATCCTAAAGATAGGTCTCTCTGTAGAGTGGGATGTGGCACTGTGACCAGCATCGCTCCTGAGGTAACAGGTTTTTACCCTAGAGGTCCGACCCTTGCATTTACCTAGAAAAGATGTCATTGGATGGTGGATTCCCCTCAAGTTGGAAAATCTTCACTGATCTCTATTTTGTTCTTTATTTTTAGCACTATCTCCGATGGGTAAGCTCCTTATCTATTTCCAACTCTGATATTTTATATTGTTTGTAGTTATAAGCCTTGCTGTTTATATTCCCACAATAAAGACTTATATTTCTAAGGTCATTTAAAAAGTCTCTATTCTCCAGAATCTTTCAAGATCCTAAATAATTATTTTTGGATAGATTGCCACAGAGGAGATAAAGTTAATAGGAAAAGATGCCACAATCTCTGGCCATCTTCTAGGCTCTGAGAAAAAACTTCCTCACTGACACCCAGCAAAATATGATAAAAGGAAAATTATAATAAAAGGAATATAATAAAAAATATAATAAAAAGAATTCCACTAGTTGCTTACTAGGAATTCAGAACTTTTTTTAGTGATAAGTGAAGGCCCCCTGAATCATATTTAAAAAAAATAGCTAAGAACAAACTTTTATTTACTTCTATTGCCTTCTAAATAACTTGCCTTTGGGGGACAGTAGATATTGAGCACGTATGTACTACATACTGAGCACTATGCTAGGCACTTTCCACAGCAGCATCTCTTATTTTGACCACGGCCCCTCCTGGCAGTTAATATGTCTCCCACTTTGCAGATCAGGAAACAGGCTTAGTTATTTGCTCAAGATTAAACAATTGGTAGGGACCAGCAGTTGACGTAATGGCTATGTCGCTGGACTCCCATGTAGTCGACTGCGTTTGAGTCCCAGACCCCGTGGCTTAAACTCACACCGGTACGTGTGCATACATGCCCAAGATCCTAGAGGAGAATGGAGGAGAAGGGATTCTGGCGTGGCCATCCCCCCCCGTGGGTGATTTCTCACTTTCTGTTTCTCTGTCTCTGTCTTTCTGGCGAGCACACACACCCTATAGCAAAAATCTCTCCAAGAAAAAAAAGAGAGATTAAAGAGTTGGTAAGCAGCAATATGAGGATTTAAACCCAGAATTTCCTGTCTTCAAAAGTATACATTCTCTACACCAGGACAGCTTCTCCTACCCTGACTCATAAATGCCTTTTTAGTGATTAGTCATAAAAACTTGTCATAAAGCAAAGGTTTATAAACATTTACTAGAAAGCCGAACAATTGAATGTTCTTTACAAGAACCAAAGAGTTCTTTTAAAAATAGTAGATTTCTCTTTTCAATCAATGTTTGGGGCCAGCCGTGATCTGGTAGTTAGGGCAGCTGGATTCCACATGCCTGACCATGCAGTTTGCATCCCAGATCTGGTGGCTTAAAAGACACAGCAGGTGTGTGTACATGCAAGCCTAAAATCCTGAAAGGAGAGAGAAATGGAGAGGGGAATGCAGTGTGACAATGCCCCGGGGAAGGTGCTTTTGTGCTCGCTCTCTCGCTCTCTCTCTCTCTCCCTCACTGTCCCTGTCAGTCTCTGGTGAGCACACGTACTCTCTGGCTGTTTTTTTAAATCAATGTTTAAAACAATCAGTGACTGACTTTTAAGTGTTTTCTAAATTCTAATTTCTCTATATCAGGATTATTTTAACACATGGCTCCCACAATTAAGATAAGACAGGATAACAATTTTTTAACACTCTGTAAATATATAATCAAAGAAGTAAATAAGACTTAAATTGATTGAGACACATTACAAACAGTCCAAACACTGACAAATACGAAGGATGTTCTTATATTTGACCATGTTTCATCTCTGTTGGATAGGGGGAGAAAGGACAGAGATGAAGTTGAAAAGGGCAGTTACTGGAGGCAGGGTGATATTAAGGCACTGGATCCCACGTGGCCAACTGCGGGATCAAGTGCCCAGACTTTGGGTACCTGTGCTTGCATGTCCAAAATCCCCAGAGGAGCATGGAGGCCAAGGGATTGTGGCATGGTCATTCCTTCTGGCGGGTGATTTTTCATTTTCCCTCTCTTTGTGTCTCTCTGTGGTGAGAGCACACACCCTATAGCAAAATACTTTTTAAAAAGAAAACAGTGATTTTTCCTTTTGACATTCAGATGAGTCCCTATGTGTTTATATTTGAGAAGGGATCACAATCCCAACTCTTTTTAGAAATGATTATTTTTTTTCTTTTTATCATCGGGTGTGAGTGATCACGAGAGAGTGAGAGGGAAAATGAGAAATTACCTCCCAAGTGGGATGGACATGCCACAATACCCTTTCCTCCATTTCCTCCTTGGGACTTTGGGCACACATGCACACTCACCTGGCATGATTTCCAAGCTGCCAGGTCTAGGACTTGAACTGCAGTCAGCCATGTGGGAGCCCAGCACCGTAACTACCTGCTGGTCCTGTGATAAATTAATTTCTAATACATACATTTTTTGAAGTTGACAGGAAAAAAAAAATCAGTTTAATCTTTTTAGAAACTGTCAGGTAAAATATATCCTTATTAATATATATTTCAAACATATTCTTTCCAATTGAATATTTGTAAGAACAGAACATTATGGTTTAGCTCAGTGTTCAAAGGAAGAGTTAAGATAATTTAGTTCCTCAATCATATCATCTTCTCAGGTTGAGTCTCTTCTCACTTCTACACTCAGCCAACGACTATGTGACCTTTCAAATGTAATTCACCGTCAGAGAACTATAATGATTCATCTCTCTGATGCTAAACCGATCTTTCAGAGTCTGAATCTGATTATGCTCTCCCATCGACCACTGGATTAAGAACCTAAAATTAGTTTCTTGAGGCCAGCAGGTGGCGGGGTGGTTAAGGAACTGGACTCCCACATGGCTGACCACGGTTTGAGTTCTAGACCCAGTGGCTTAGAAATCACAAAGGGTGTCTGTGCATGCATGTCAAAAGTCCCTAGAGGAGAATGGAGGAGAGGGGGTTGCAGCATGGCAATTCCCCCAGGGTATGATTTCTCACTTTCCATCTGTGTCTCTCTCTGACAAGCACACATATCCTGTGGAAAAAACCTAAAAACAAAATTTTTTTTTAAATAACCTAAGATTGGGACCAGCAGTTAGCATAATGGCTATGTCACTGGACTCCCATGTAGTCCACTGTGGTTTGAGTCCTGGACCTGGTGGCTTAAACTCAAGCCGGGCACATGTGTGTGCGTGCCCAAGATCCTGAGAGGAGATTGCAGGAGAAGGGATTGCAGCATGGCCATCCCCCTGGGGGCTGATTTCTCGCTTTTTGTCTCTCTGTCTCTGTCTTTCTGGCGAACACACAGACCCTATTAACAAAAGCCTCTCCAAAACAAACAAACAAACAAACAAAACCAGAAACTAAGAATAATTTCCTAATAAAATCCATGTTCTATTTTCTACATTAAGTATCAATTAGAATTATTAATGTAATAGCTATTTCCCAGTATCTTTCAGCTTTAACAAAAATTAATCCAATTTAAAATTTTTTCTCTCTTTATTTCATTTTCTTCTTCTTCTTTATTTTTTTTTACAGTCAAAGTTTAAAATTTTTAGTAATTAATTCCTTATCAGCATCGGGCCAGCAGGTGACATGGTAGTTAAGGGTACTGGACTCCCACTGGAGCTCCAGACCTGTAGGCTTGCTTTCTTACTTTCTCTCCCTCTTTCTCCCAGAGATTCACTTATGTTTCACCTTTGGGTAGCAGCAGTAAGCCACACGCCATTATTCCAACTGCATTCTAAGTTCCTCTTTTCTTTTCCCCAGATTTCAAAACAGTGTGTAAATCATTTTGTTCCTTTAGATTTCATAATTGTTGCATACTTACAGTATAAATCTACATAATCCAAAGATTTGTAAGCCCTGGCTGAAAGTCCATTTATTGTGGGCAGTAGCCCATACACAATTCTAATACAATCAAAAGATTTTTTTTCACAATGTCCCTTTTTTTTTAGTGAGTGTTTGTTTGTTTTTTTTAATATAGAGCGCGTGCACTCACCAGACAGACAGACAGAGACAGAGAGGTAGAAAGTGAGAAATCACCCCCAGGGGGGATGTAACCCTAACCCTATCCCTAGTACTATCCTTCAACGCTAGCCCTAACCCTAACACTATC